CAAATGCCAGGAGGAAATTACAAGGGGAGCCCGGCTCAGTTTGGTGTCGCTTTTGCTTTAACAAAAAAAAACTGTCTGCAAGGTTAAACTGTATTACATTGAATTTGTTTGAAGGATTAATTGACATAATGAGATTTCTGTACTAGCCCTGACCCTGGGATTGTGTGATTTTTAATAAGATCTTAAAAATATTACACATGTTCTGTCCCCAGAATTAAAAATTAGAATGCTATTCATTCTGATCATATCATGGGTCAACTTTTACTTTAAGTGTCCTTAATCGGTTTCTTCATAAGCCGCATGTGCTTCCACCGTAAGGATGTCGACATGTTGGGGCGCTGGTAGCGCAGTGGTTAGTGCTCCATGTATGGAGGCTGTAATCTTCCAATTGCATTTTGAGCTCCATCAAAAAAGCACCACGAAGCAAACAGAAACTAAATGCTCTCTCCATCATGTCAAGCTGCTGTGAGCCCGTAGATCTCAGGACCGTTAGTGAGCCGTCATGCTCCATGCGTTACAGAGGGATTGCCTGAGGCTCAACACTCAAGGATATAAACATGTACTGTAAATTACTGCTTTAAACTGTGTGTGGGTTTTTGAGGTTTGGCATCGTACAGCTTGGGTAAGCAAACAGAGACCCCTGTTTTCAAGCGGACCAAAGTTCAGTAGAGCATTCACACCACCCCATACCAAAAGGCCTGTCCAACAAAGCGCACAAGAGTTTGTTTTAAATGGACCAAACACCTCATGGGTGAATGTATCCTTAGGGTTTATCCATTGCGGTCAACCTCAGTTCGATCAATATTGCATCTTAGATGTATTGAGTTCTACTTTCATCATGAAAGTGAAGAAGAATCGATTTCTGCTCCACATACAGTAGATGATGCACTTCAAGCAAACTGCAGTTAAACCAAACTGAAGCCTTTCATTTAGCAAGAAATGAGTACTTAACAATATGATTGTCAAAAATAAATGGTGTGCGTAGAACAAATGCCAGCCCTGTAAGATATAGTTGTGACTTAAGATGAGTGCTCATGTGAAAAATTTAATCAAATACTCTTAAGACCCAGTCTTCTCTTTTGTCAAAGGATGGCTGATATGTCATTAAGTGTCCTACAGGAAAGACTCATTATATTCTTACTTTTCTTTTCTTTAAGGACTGAAAGAAGCGCAGAAGAGTGAAATCATTTGTTTAAAGGAGCATCTGTGTTTATTGAGTTTCTTCTTAATGAGTGTTTTGCTCAAGCAGGCTAAGCCTTTTCATGTTTCTCCTCCAAACATCAGGTGATAATTTTCTACCAATAAGCTGCTGTTTCTTGTACAGTTCAGTGAAATGTTCTGCTACACCAAGGACAAAATCAGCAGATATGACTGTTTTCGTAATTGGAGATATATCCCTAGCCTGTTTAACATTATCTTTAACACAGTGTGAAGTGTATTCATACAATATGACAGGAGTGGATATACTGTAGCTTTAATCACTCTATACCAGAGCTGTCCCACAATTAAAATTTTTTAATTGCAATAAATCACAGAATTTCAGTAGTTAATCGTGATTAAACACAATCTTAATCGAATGTTTGAAATTCAATCATTTAAAAATTAAAAATAGCTAGGCTTTTATTTTGAATTTTTGTATTATGTTTAGCTAATAGTTCTTTACTTGCTGTTTGAATTCAACAATGCTTTTATTTTGAAATATAGTAAGGACCTTCTGGTAGATCCAAGGTCACGACATTAACTTTGCCACAGAAAAAAAGAACTTGCTTCAGTTAACAAAAAAAAACTAAATACAAACAGCTAAAGGGGACAGTAAAAAAGTAAAATGTTTGTTGCATAAGATGGATATTACTTTGGACTCTTCAACTGAGCTTTTATTTGAGCAGTTTTTATAAAGGATATTATTTATTTTATTTTTTATTAGATAGGACAGCTGGAGAGAGACAGGCAATGTTAGGAGGAGAGAGAGTGAGGGGATGACATTCAGCAAACAGCTGAGGACAGACTCGAACCCACGGCCGCTGAGGAATATTGCCTCCGTACATGGTGCATGCCTCATAACCACTAGGCCATAGTCATTCAAAGATGCTGCACTGTTCTTTTTCCACACTGTGACTCCAGGGAGACACTGAAGAGGCTTCTCCACGGTGCGCCTGCAACATAGCATGCCTTAAGTTATCGTGATTATAGTCGATGCTGACAGCCCTACTCTATACCTTTTACAGGTCGGAGGAAAAGCAGAGCAACTTATGTTTCTCCCCAGGGAGTTAACAAATCTATTATGGTGTAAACAGAAGACATACAATAGGCAGCATGTAAAAGACAAAGTACCTTAAATGATTTAGAACATACTGGAATACAATCAGACTCTTACTGTTGATGTACATGGAAATATCATCTCTTAAAAAAGATGAACTCTAATGACTTCATCAGGTAATATCTCCTCTTTTTTTAACCTTGTCTCATTGCATTTAATCATGTCTTTTTTCCCTCTGCATTTTTCATCTGCCCTTCCCCTCTCCCGTCTCGTCTCTCAGGGCCAGCGGGACCTGTGCTTAGAAACTGACCGAGGTTCTCACCCTTCTGCTATGTTGACTGGCCATAAACAGAACACACAGAGACTCACAGGCCTGTAGGCCATTCTAAACACAAGGAAGGAGCTCTGAGCAAACACTCCCAGAATGACAGATTGATATATAGAGCTGGAGGTTTTTTTTTTTTTCACTCAGCTGCTGACTTGCAGTTTGGATTGTAGTACCTGATTGTTTGTGACCATATACTGAAGAAAAGATGGATGAAGTGACAGCTCCCCAAAAAGTGAAGCCAAAACATTTTGATTGCCACCTCCCGACCGGCTTCAGTAAATGTCATAAAACATTGAAACACATGAAACACTTGACATACTCTTAAAAAAAAGTATACACATCAAATACATTTTTCTCAAGCATGATTTGAAAAGTTGTTTTGATGTAGACGCTACTAATCTGAGGGTCTTTTTTCATTCAATTAAACGTGTGTTTTGGTTTGTAGAAGGGGCGGGACATGAGTGCTGCAGATCCACCATGTGTTCTCTATTGTGCAGACTCTGGCTGGAAATGATGTCACCACCAGCACCAGCAGAAGTCAGGTATGACGGCTTCAGTTTTGTAAAAGAATAAAAAGAGGTGGATCCAATCTACAGCCAATGATTGTGTTAAAGTTCTTGTCGTTGTCAGAGATGAAACCACCTTAAATCTTCCACTGAGTGGGCCCTTTTCTCTTAATAAGCCTTCATGCTTCAACGCTTGAAAACATCACATGCACACACACACACACATAGAAACACAGTTTAAGACAAGTGCAAGCAGTGAAAAAGGCTCCGTGAGGTCAGAGTGTTGAGCCTCAGGCAATCCCTCTGTAACGCATGAAGCATGACGGCTCACTAACAGTCCTGAGATCTACGGGCTCACAGCAGCTTGACATGATGGAGAGACCATTTAGTTTTCTGTTTACTTCGTGGTTCTTTTTTGATGGAGCTCAAAATGCAATTCTGGTTTTCTGACATGTGTCACACTCTGAGGTCTCACCATTTGAGAGAGAGAGAGAGAGAGAGAGACTGACCACTAAAGCAGCTAATCCTTGACTAATAGCTCCCTCTGCTGTCTGAAAACAGAAACACAGCCAGGAAATGAGATAATTATACTACTGTTTGTCTCGAGCACAGATCTAAAATATCAGCCTTACATCTATTATCACTATTATAAATATTAAAGTGAGCTGCTCAACTTGAACCTTTTTAATGAACATATTTGTCACTGCTTATACTTTAACCATTAATACGAACATTGTAGCTATGAATCTATCTGATTCATTGTTGCTGTTGCTCTCTTTGTCTCTATCCTTCTACTGCATCTCCCCCTATCCTAACTTTTCAAACCCAACAGTTTCAGCAGATGGCCGTTCAACATGAGTCTGGTTCTGTTCGAGGTTTCTTCCTCTGAAATGAAGTTTTTTCTTCATACTTCTCTCCGTCCTTGATAACATCCACTGCACTCTTCACAGCATCTTAACCAGGTAGAGGAGAGAGTGTTCAGTGGCAGACTGCTGTCTCAATGCTGCTCCACGGACACACTCAAGGACTCTCGTTATGGTGTTTATTTTTTGGACACATGTTAATGCCTTCACAGCATCTTGTTATCCCATTTTTCAGGCCCAGCCCAGTTCGGCAGATGGCTGTTCATCATGAGTCTGGTTCTGCTTGAGGAAGTTTTTTTCTTGTCACTGTAACTTTGCTAAATGCTGCTTTGTGCTCATCATGGATTAACGTTGGGCCTTGACAATGAGTAAGGTCTTTAACTGCTTTTTTGTGAAGTGTCTTGAGATAACATTTGTTAAAAATTGGCGCTAAACAAATAAAGATTGATTGATCTGTGTCGTGATATACTAACATAGCTTTTGACTTTCTCTACACAATAACTAATATATAATTCATATAATGTGTTTGTTCAATCTTCAAATAGAACCCTTTGTAAAGTGTTTTGTAGGTAAAGGCACCATTAGGCAGAAGTAAATCTTCATTGTAATGTTTCGTAAAATGACTATTGATTACTAAACCTTATCAGAAAATATTAACATCAAACTCTGAATTCATTTGCAATACCAATATTTCAATATTGATAATGCACACTTAGATATGGAAGTTATAGATAATTCAAGCAGACCAAAAAAAGTGTTGAGATGAAGAAGAAAAGCAGAACATTTGTAATGCAAATGTAAATTGCATCGGGGAGCATTAAATCCATTGTTAGTCCACAAACATGTTAAACATGAATTACTGAAATCAAACTGGACCAATTTACCAAAACACCATCCAAAGTGTTTTTGGAGAACCAGGCGTAAGAAGTTAAATGTGATGTATGTGGAGAAACAAGAGGAAGTTTGCCTAATTTAGAAAAATCCCTGAATTCAATAGAACAAACCCAGTTAGTTGAAAGAAAAAAAAAAAAAAAATCAGATCTCACCTGGTACAATCTCAAAGAGGTGTCTCCCTGGTTCATCTGGATTAGCTGTGAGCTCGTTGACCTGGCATCCCTGCAGAGGTATACAGCCCTGAAACACACAGAGAGAGCGTGCAATATTCAATATTAGACTGGAATGAATGAAGTTGTGGCTCAGGTGACTTTGCTTGTTATCTTTTGACTGAAGCACACGGGATAAGCAAAAGATTCATTTCCTGTACCATGTTTGGTTTTTCATGGTTTGTATTGACTCTGAGGAATTTGAGGAAATTACTTTTTTTTCCTCTTGTATCGTCAAAGATTTTTGGTCATTTTCAGCCACCTGATGATATATATATTGTTCTAGTCAATGTGATGCTTAAAGCTTCACTGCCACCTGATGATTTGAGAGGTGAAATGTTATATCAGCAACAAACAAGGCTCTGTGACTAAAATACAGAAAAGATGTAGACTGCTTGGTGATGCAGAATCCTCTTGATGCAGAATAAAGGGATGAATGAGGCTTATATTAGTTGGTACAGTGATGTTAAATACCACCATGATGCAGACCTGCAGTTTGATCAACAGCAAACTATCACAATGTAAATCACATTGTAATATTCATCATTCAGCATTCAGCTCTGATCTCATCTTCTGTCTCCTTTCAGCCCCCCTCTCATCCACCCCTCCTCCCTTCTTCCTATCACTCCTATCTAAACCTCTCTTTTTTAAGCAGCTACTCCTGTGATTGAACAGGGACCCGCACAGATTATCAGAATACATTATCCAGATCAATACCCATTTAGCCCCGAGAGCCGAGGCTAAAGTGAGCTGTGAAGACATGCCAGCGTCTGCAGGTCGCCCCCCCCCCCCCCTTAATCTGAACACTGGCACCCTCCATCAAACGGGGGAAGAGGAGTCTGCCAAATCACTTCAACCAGGGCCAGGCTGTCGCCAACATTAGTCGCCATGGCAACAAATGGAAAGGGTGGGAGCTGTAGATGGATGGAGCACAAGGGCAGGGCAGTAACCAAGGGGGTGGGGTGTAGTGAGGGGGGGGGACTCCCAGGGGTCCTATGTGCTCGGAATAACACGAGTAGCTGGCGGGGGCTGAATGAATAAGAAGCGGCAACACATAACCTGAGAACACAAATCACACAGCCATAAAGTGCATGCTGATAATGTAGGATAGATATCAGACTTTGATGAAGAGCTCACGTTTTGTTGCAATCAAAATGAAATGAAACTGCGCCGCATGCAGCAGCCTTAAACCAACAAAAAAACAGACGTGGACACGCCCAGTTTAACCTGTTTTGCCAATCATTATCCAGGACCCTAGAACACCAGCTCGGACCCTGAAGACTCAGTCTCACTTCTGTCTCCAACTGGCAAACTACCCACACATTACACACTCTGCTATTGATTAGTACCATGTGCAGAGGCCTTCAATTGAGACCCATAAACACCTCACGCTCCTTTTGTTTAACACAAGCAGTGAAGCTCTGACCGAGCCTCTCGCCAGCTGTCCGCTCACATACAAATCTGTTCTGGTACTGGATCCCAGTCAAAAGAGCAGAAGTGAACCACAACCAGACTCAATGCACTGAGGCACCATTGAAAATGTAGGCAAAATCACATGCAAGTAATGAGTTAAAAATTTGATTCAAGTTTTCTTTGAAGGTTGCTCCGAATGGAAAACTCAGTGGCTCACTGGTAGAGGTTTGAACCTCGGCTCCTGGAGTCACATGTCAAATTGTCTTTAGGATGAGACACTGAACCCTGAAAAGCTCCCGCTGCTACGCCAGCATCATGCATGTGTGAGTAGAGTTGTTCTGCCATTGGTGTGTGATGTCATGTGGATGTGACATGTAGTGTAAAAGCACTTTTAGTGGTGAGAAAAAAAAAAAAATTGAAATACTTTATTAACCCTTGAGGAAATTCTGGTTTACCCTCTGTTATGGAGCGACATGCTTCTCACAAACAGGAGCTGTGGACATGCATCAGTGGAGAGATGTCAGAGTGGGGCGGCTACACACTGCTATGCAGGGAGTGCAACCAGAGCGGTTGAGGGTTCGGTGCCTAGCTCAAGGGCACCTCGGCAGTACTCGGGAAGTGCCCCGGCACATCTCCAGCTACCAGACCAACTTCCATATTTTGGTCCACATCGGGACTTGAACCGGCGACCCTCCAGTTCACAACCCTACTTTCCCAGCTGCTGTCAATCTGACATTTTAGCCCCAATAAAACACAATGTTTGGTTAGGTTAAGGGTTAGATTTAGGGTTGGGGCATGCAGGAGTTAATTCTGATCATTTCACTGCACATTCTAATAAGGCAACACAATTAAAATGTATACATTTATACGATTATGTCATCCTTTAACTTTTGCTCATTTATTCTAGCTTTTGTCTGATGTAAATCTCAACCTGCAGGCCCTTGTCAGCTTCGTTTGATCAATGTGTGCTCCTTTATTGCTTTCAAAGAGAATTAACCCAATTTTTCTTTAAATTCTAATACATAGAAATATGCATGATTCAACACCGAGCGTCTGAGGCTTTCTTGCACTTCTCCAGAATATATATTCAAGCCCTCTGGAATATTGGCAGTTTTTGTTTTGTTTTATGTTTTCCAGCATGTTTGATTTCATAGGCAAAGAACTATAGTTGATAACATTAACAGTTCTAGCCTCTAAAGCCAAAGAACTGAAGTCAAAGTCTATAAAAAAGAACTCCACCTATGTAGCATCCACGATGGGAGGAGAAACAAGCCTAGAATATCTCAACATCTTTAAAAGTATTTGATCTGGTTTTGTGTGTTAGGAGTTGAAGATGTAGAGATTGATTTTTCAATGGACGCCCTAATGATCTCCTGCTCCACCTGCCAACCCCCCCCCCCCCCCCACACACACACACACACACACACACACACACACATGTACACACACACACCCACCCCCACCTTTGTGTTTGTCTTTAACAGCAGAGATGCATTGTCCAAAAACCGAAGTCCATTTGTCCAGAGGGGATAAACCTGATGAAAGGAAAAAAAACCCTGTACAGATCCTTCTTCTGTATCGCCTTCCCTTTGACCAATTATCACATCTTTTCATCTTGATGGGAGGGGGTCTTGTTCCCATTCAATAATTTGCCTACACACCCCCTCCCTCCCCTGAAAACCCCCACCACTCCTGGCTAGCCTCGGATTTCCGATCGATTAGAAGATGAGAGGGAGAAAAAAAACCGAATTGACACTTTCTCACACATCCGGCTCTCGGGATGGGGGGGAGGGAAGGGGGGGTCTGGTGTGTATGCATAAGTGTGTGTATGTGTGTGACTTGAATCTGCAGGGAGTTGCAAATCAATGCAGGCTGGATGGGTATTGGCAAAGTCTGATTAAGGAGAGTCTGTCAAAGCCTTCAGCCATTTGTTCCTCACAGAGATGGCAAGAAGGAGCACGTCAATGCTCTGTGCAAATAGTGTGTGTGTGTGTGTGTGTGTGTGTGTGTGTGTGTGTGTGTGTGTGTGGGCGCACACTGAGAGACACTGATGTCAGACGGCTGCTGTCTATATTAAATGAAGAGCGGTCATGCAGAGTGATGACTGAAAAAAATCAATAAAAGTGTTGAGATTTCAGCCAGGAATGTAAAGGGATGATTATTATGCTTGTTGTGTGTATTTCTGTGTGTGTGTGTGCGTGTGTGTGTGTGTGTGTGTGTGTGTGTGTGTGTGAGACCTGCCCCTGCTGTCTTTTGTTGTTGGATTACATCATCGCCTCATGTTACGACTTTGTAATCCTGTCAGCTGCGATGACAAACTATAACCCACGATTGTTCCTACGACAGTGTGTGTGTGTGTGTGTGTGTGTGTGTGTGTGTGTGTGTGTGTGTGTGTGTGTGTGTGTGTGTGTGTGTGTGTGTGTGTGTGGGTTCGAGGTCATTTCAGGCAAGCAGCCGTATCCCTTGTGATCATAATGGGGAGATGTGAGTCAGCACCTGGCCACAAAAGAAATTCCCCCTCAGAGATGCTCTGTGATTGATTAAAGGTTTAACTCTGTAAATCATTTGAATGAGCGTGCTCTAATGGAGGAAACCAGGCTTCTCATGCTGTTTGTAATAATGCATTCAAATAATGCTCGATTGCAGTGATCGTTTCAACTGAGTACTTTTAAATGTTCCCATTAATAAAGCATAACCAGTAGTATTGTCTTTTAAGCTGTTGTTAATAGAGAAGTGTGGACATATGATGATACCTAGAAAAAGCATAAGAGTTAATGATAAAAACATTTTTTACTGAATCCACTTAAAGGTCCACTAAGTAAGATATCTACTGAATGAAATGATAAAATGACCTTACTATATGGTCAGACATTAAGGAAACATGCTATGTTGAAGTGCTGGCTTCTCTGACAACAATGCAGCAGTCAGTATGTCCTCCTCCTAAGTTTAAAAGTCTGGTCCTGAATGCTCTGGATTTGTTTTAACCAGACAAGGTAAGATCTATTTTTTGTTTTTCAGGCAAACAGCAATCCAACAGGTGTTGAAGCGAAGCTGGTTGAGATATAACTGATTCTCCTCGACCTAAAAAGCAGTGGCGATTCTAGAGTCTGTTGGGGCCCTGGGCAAAAAGCATTTGGGGACCCCTTCAGCCAGTGTTCATCACCATCATGTCAGCCAGGTGCCTTTCAAGTCCTGATGCTAACTCCTTTTCCTCTTTTTTTTTTTCCAGTTTCATTTTTCAGAAATAATGCAGGCAAAGCGTAGCAGGACAACAAAGGGAGTGCTGTCACATGGGGCCCGCTTAGGGAGGTTTCCTACTGTCATTGCAAAATGTGCACATTTGTTTTGGCCACTGCTTTGGTTGAAGTTTTTCAGCCCTCAGGGGCCCCCTACTGGTCTGGTGCAGAAGGTCATCTGACCTTACAGGTTATGTCTCAGGTTTGCATATTAATCAACCTTAAAGCAAGTTGTCTCTTTTCTTGGGGATCTTTAAGTTTACTGTATACCTTCAGAACCTAACAAACATATCTCATCTAGCATAATAAATGACCCTCTCAAATGTAGCAATTTAGCAACAGCCCATAGACGCCATGGCAACAGCTAAATACACATAAACATACTCTACATGTAAACAGTTTGCGAACAACAGGCTGAAGATCGGCTGAATCCGCTAATACTACTGTCCCTTGTCAGTCGACAGGATTGTTAAGCTTATCAAAACGTCTTTGCCGGCTTTACTGTACACACCATCTGCTTGAACACAAATGCATATTTGCTAAGAGGGGTAGGCGTAAGAGCACTGTGTGTCTAACGATATTGCAGTTGAACTCAGAGACCTTCGTTGGGCGCTGAGGCTGACCAAACCAAATTACACATTGTTGATTTGACATCACTTCAGTTACTTTTAGAATCTTTTTTTTTTTTTGCAGCTCCCCCTCGTGTCAAAAACGATTTCAAGTGCCTTTTTCACATGAAGAGTAGTAGTTCTCCCAAAGATATGTGACTTGAATCATTGAACCATTTTAAGCAGGATTATGGACTTCTCACACAGGATAGAAATGTACTTAGATTAAGAGGTGTTTTAAGTGCTATCTGATGGGATGCACTAAAAGGAACTTTACTTCAATTCTTACTCAGATAACCTGATCTGATGTCGATGATAGAGACACTGATACTTGACCAAAAATATGTATTCCATTCTTAACAGGTCTGTGTGCAAGTTTGTATCTGTGTCAAACAGCCAATATACTCATAGTAGGAATAAAGTCAATGGTAAAAAGATTGTATATACAGTGTTTTGTCTGGTCTTCCAACCATGTAATGCACTTTTACACTACATTTCAAATTCACCCATTCAAACACACATTCATACACTGATGGCAGAGGCTGCTATGTAAAGTGTCCATCAGTATACTCTCATCCCATCCATACACATTCAAACACCACTTGCTATGCTGCCAGGAGCTATTTGGGGTTCAGTGTATCTCCAATGGACACTTTGACATGTGGACTGCAGGAGCTGTGGTCGAAATGTCAACCTTCAAATTGAAACTCTACCGCTGAGACACACTGCACCTGGTATTCCCAGGTGGACTCCCTTACAAATACCAACAAGGCCCGACCATGGTTAGCTTAGCTTAGCCCTAGCCTGCTCTAGGAAGCTCAAGTGTTAGCTATTTGGTAATGCGTGCATGCTATGCCAACAATTTCTGATGAAATACTTGCAACCCCTGCAAAGACTTTTTGTTCCACAAAGCAGGGTTTCATCCGAGCCTTATGATCCCAGTGTCTTCCACACAGTGAAGCATGCAGTTCATTAATTAAACACTGGCATCGGATCAGTGCCTCCCCACAGTCTGACTCATTATACTGTAAAAAAAGGCACTACTCCGGGGAGTAAAACTGCACCACAGGGCATGAAGATAAAACACTGTCATTTAATTGTGTAAATGAAATCACATAAGCCTTTATGAACAGGGGCTCGGCTAGGTTTGATTCTCACCCTCCTGTCAGTGTATCAGACACATGGCGGAAGACGTTTTACCTGTGGTTTGGTTTCCTCTTCGTCTTTGTAGAAAAACAGCTGATCCGAGCGCAGCACAAACCAGCGGAGCTGCCAGTTCTTCATGATGCTTCGCTGCTTCTTCAGCCAGCCAGCCTTCAGAGCCCCCTCCTGCAGGCTGGGGGAGGCCGGACGGCAGGAGCCCCGCGACACCTCACCCATCACCATGCTCTTGGACCTGGCTGTGAACACACATTCACAAACACATGTAAGACATTTTGAATGCTTAACATACACAAGCAGAGAGACATTGGGGGGGGACTGTGTTTGGTTTAAAGGGATTGATTTGATGGTTCTGCTTGATTTCCTTCCACTGCTCGTCTTTTTTATTCCCCCCCCCAATAGAAGCCTGTGTTATCCCTCATTCTGTATGCTGTATGCACACACATGCTCTACCTCTTCAGTCATGACACACACACACACAATTCTGCCCGAGGCTGCAACGCCTCTAGATGAAGGGGGAGAGGGAGCGCAGAGAGGCGGCAGGCACAAATAATAACAGAAAGCAGATAAAATAGAGACTGGGAATAAAACAGACACTCACACACTCACACACATACACACTTATAGCCTCAGGTGACAGGGATCCCGGCTTCCATTTCAGAGGTCCTTTGGAGGGACTTATTGTGTATTGCCACAAACCAATAGAAAAGCAGAGGCTTTTGAGCTGGGATAATAGGACCACATGGGACTGTCTGAGTCTCTGAGTGACTGGCTGGCAGACTGGATCATTCTCAGTAAATGTGTGTGTAACCTGAGCTCAGTCAAGGATGTTTTAAAGGGAGGGGATGGGAGCTTTATAGCTGACATCAGGTTGCCCCACTGTGTTACTCATATTGTCCTCATATGACATCAGCCTCGGAAAACTAGATTTAAGGGTGCTCTGTGAATCCTTTTTGACAACATTTAATAAGAAGATTACACCAGCTGTCAGATGAAAGACCTTTGCTGGGTGTAGCTTCAGTGTTGCATTTCATATCATGATGAACCAGGTGATGATATCAAGACTCCAAACAAAAAAAGGAAAAGCCATGTATCATCGACATAGAAAAAAAGAAACGCTTACAAAACTGAAGATTTCATATTTGTTTGTTTTTTACAAATGTGATATATTCTGCTCAGGCCAACAAGGCAATGCAATTTGATGATCATATATAATTTATAGAAATCAATTGTGTTGACATGCTCCCTGCTGGTGTGTGCTTTGTGCCTCACAAGCACAGAAATGATCAATGTTCCCGTGGTGCAGTGGGGAGAAGGGGATGGATGAATGTGGAGGGGGAAGAAAAATCGATGCTTATTCTTCTTTATTGTCTCATCTCTTTCTTCAGCATACAAATAGCTTTAAGGACATGGTGTCACATCGTTGTTAAACCATGTCAAAGCCTGCCCTGGTATGTTTTAAAGCCTGTTGAGCCACTGAGATTTACCTTTTTATGACTGATTCTTTCTAAACTTGTTGAGGATATTTAGCCATGTTTCCAAGTATGTATGTTTAAATTCCTGGTCATCTTTGTGTTTTATTGCTATTTTCAAAATATGTGTTTTTCTGTATCAAGAACATTTAAATATATCAAGCAAGAGCTGTGACCCTTTTTTTTCCGTGCATTTTATTTCTAGAAACCACAGTTTTTTTTGTTAGAGCTGTGATATGATTTTTTTTTCTACACTTCAGATAAAGATAATTGTGTGTGCATAAATGACAATGGTAGTTAAATTTAAAAAGGAATGTTAGCAAGCTCGCAATCTGTTTTATGGCCCAATATATCACCTTAAAGCAGCATTTCTTTTGCAGGGGATAGTATGGGTCCATTATCCATCTCCTTTTAGCGCTGTTTTTTTTTCTGGTCTCCGTTAACTACTGAGTGAAACCCAAGACTATCTGCTGTCTCAAGGCAGGACAGCTACAGTAGTGCTGTACTGGAGTTTGGAGTCATCTGCCTAAGTCGACTTAAAAATTATGGGTGTCTTTGGACTGATACAAAAACTGAAAGTTGTAAATGGCCCAATCAAAACAAGGGGCTAAAAGGTGCTAAAATGAATGAATAGAGTTACAAAGTCTGAGGAAATGTCTTTGTTGCTTCATCACGTTTACAGTAGCACCACCATTCACAGCATCACATAATTACTTCACAAAGTTTTTTAAAATGTCGACATTTACGGCTTTAATATTTCATTACGTCTCTAGATTCAGAGGTCTCACCAAACAAAGTCGTGAATTATACAAAGTTACAAGTTATTTTGTAAATACAGCTTATTTTGTAAATGTGCTGGGCCTTTGGTGTGTTTTTGTACCAACATATGTGTTTGATTAATTACATTGTTTATATTACATGGATACATGGTTTGGCTACCACTGAAAGGCATCTGGTCCACATGTGAAACCTTTGGTAACATGGTGGAAATTTGGTGATATGCTCCAAATTTCTGAGGAAACAAAAAAAGGGGAAGACAAGACTTCTTTAGCTCAAAGCGATCAATGGAACAAAATATTTTTTGTTTTGCATTTTTCCTCGCAACTGTATTCACCATGGTGATGAAAACATCAGCATCGTATTCTTCTGCATTACTTTGTTTCCCTCTCGTCTATCTAGAGCAAACACCCGTCTTTTTTGTAAACGTTTTTTTCATTCCATTCATTTCCAACCTTGTAATTTAACACTCCTACCCCCCCCCCCACACACACACACACACACACACTCACACACACACCTAATTTCCCCTACTTTGACTCGCTCTAATTCCCTCCTTACTTTAAGCACTGCTGGTCCTGTTGAATCAAAGCTCTGTTATTACTGAGAGCACACATGCTTATCACACACACTCTCTCTCTCACACACACATACATACACATCCTTGTTCCCACCGCTGGCACCTCATTAAGCCAGTTTTTGTCTAATAAATGAGTTCTTGGATTAGTGGCACATTTCCATTACTGATTATTTTGCATAAAATGTCTCCAGTATTTTAGCTAACCACGTTATTCTTCATACATATTTCATAGCAACTTCACACAAGTTGAGTTCCTGCCCATTAGGCTACATTTTTATCAATAAAAGCACCATTAAAAAAGCTCTGCATAACACACTTTGTTATGCTCTCTTGCTGCCAATCAATTTATACTGACCATATGACTACCCATTTTACTTATAATAGCTAACATTGTGCACTGCACTGTATCACTGTAAAGATACCATATTAAACTCTTAAAACACAACAACTCTTAGATTCCCCAATGGTTTCTCAAAGCAAAATAATGTCTCACAGAGTAGCACAAAGCAGCAACATGAACTGATCCTTTAAACCTTGCAGATTCTGCATAAAAGTGCAGGATCTGTTTGCGTGTGGGGGTTTTGTTTTGGTATCGGAAGTGTTCTGATTTCCAGTTGTAGTAGGAGTAGAATCATCCCCTAGCGTCCAGTCAGTGGGCATTGGCAGGAAAGCAGTCCCACAGAGAGCAAAAGGGGAAATGTGCATTGGGCGTAATGCATTCCTGGAACCCTTTGTTAGTCATGCAGTGTAGATTTAGATTTGATCAATGACTCCAAACAGACAAATGTATGCAAGTGCAGCTAACAATCTGCTCTTAGACATCATGTCTCAACAACAACTCCACTGTCTCTAAGTTGTTAGCAAACAACAACACAGACACAAGACAACACATGGAAAAGAAAAGTCCTTAATCTCCATTGCTTACTACACTGGAAGCCCAAAAAAATCGTCATGCAAAGTTGGAAAAAATTGGCATCCAAGAGACTATAACGTCATCAGAGAATAACCAAAGTGTTCCCAGATTGTTAAAACCTTGACTGTCATATTGCCAGTAGAAAGTGACGTCCACTGCAAGCGACACCTTCCACGTCCTCATTGACCCCTCTGTTTTGTTTTTCCTCATCACGACTCCCTCATGTTTTTCCATCCTTCATCAATCTGCCAGTGTTCGTGTTGAAAGAGGGCTCCACTGTTTAACACGTCAGCTGTCTGGATCCCGGACCGAGTGGAACATGCACTGGCCTATGATTCACGCCTGCGTCACAACAACTGATTTTTTTTATTTTGAGTGTGTGAGTGTGTGTTTGCCAAGCACAGCTACCCTCTGCGCCAGTTTGGACCTTCTGTTCAGGGTGATTCAGGCCTTCCATGGCTTGGGTGGAGCTGCTCTGTGGTCAATTCTGCAACTATCAACTACATTGCTTGAAAAGAGTCTGTTTTACTGTAAGGGCGCGCTCTATGCATAATCACTGCAATTCACCAAAAACAGGGATCATAACTGCGGCTCCTTCATTTACTTTAGTTAGTAGTTAGGGAAGGGCTGAGTCAAATAATAGGGTCTGTCTGATCTGTGTGCAGATGTACAGTACAGTTCCTACATTTAACATGATGTACCCCCATTCTAAGCAGATCAAATCTGGACTCCACATGCAATTAATGTAGAGAGAACAAAATCAGCAAAGAGACACCAAAATTGACCCAACACTAAAGTTCCGCGCGGGATGTTTAAGAATCACTACTTTTTGGATACGCATCAATGTTGACCATATGGTGATCTTCGAAATCACCAAAATTGCGACATATCACTGTCTGATCTTTAAATAGAACTTTCTTCTTTCTGTCAATTCAGGTCCCTTGTGTCTGATTTTAGACAAATTGTATGACAAAATTCTAAAAAACTTGTCAAGTGGATCCAAAAGTATCAATTTAAAGAGATAATGGGATTGGGACTGTTACATATGGGGGTAGATGAATGATTGAAAACGACGGCATTACACCAGGACTCCTAACAAATCCCTAAAAATGGATAAAGTGTTGGTTTGCTCAATTTTCCTGAGGCAGTATACGGTCTGTAATGTCTATGCCTGTTCTTTTAGGGATTGACAAATCAAAAGGGAAATACTAATATTGAAATTTCAGTCTCCTGTAAAACAGCCTCCATAAAAACTCCAGCTCATAATGTTAAGTCTAAGTATGTTAATGTTACAATACAGATAAATGGTTTTCTACAGGCCTACGCTAAACAAAGCTTCTAGTGGTACAGCACATGAAAGGACACTTGATGCTATGTCCTTAAACACACACACACACACACACAGGCCTGACACACACACACACACACACACACACACACACACACACACACACACACACACACACACACACACACACACACACACACACACACACTGGGATGTCACTTAATGCAGTTTGGAGTTGTATTTATCATCAGCAGGAAATGGATGTATGGCTTTTATGCTCAACATTGAGGCTCCCCATCCATTAGCTTGGCAGGGCAGGTACTCCACGATAACAAGACAATACTGCACTGATCGCTAAATCACATACACACACGTATAGAAACACACTCAGTCACACACAAGTATGCACACAGGCACGTTAGAGGAATTCAATTTCATTAATCCGGTTGTTGTGCAGTGATTTATGACTCGTGGAAAATGGCAGAGTTACAGGTGCATCAGAACATAACTTCCAGTTAGCCTATCACTGTTGATTAATGTGTAAACCATTACGCTATGGTGTGTGTGTGTGTGTATACATGTGTGTGAGTGGCTGAATTCCTTGACAGGCTGGAGGTGTGTCCAATAATGCTCAGCCCATATGTGAAAGCTGCAGTGCAGAACTGATCTGCAGCAGCGGCCGTGTGCATAGCCGTGCATTTCTATGCACGCTATGCTCATTACCTGAGTGTGTCCATGTGTGAATGTCTTATCTCTGCAGGATGCTCCTGCTCACAGCATCGTCATGAGGGTATATTCATATTCCTTGGGAAGGCAGGATGTCAGGACGGTGCTACATTGTAGGACTTTGATCATAAAACCATGGTAACGTGCAGTAGATCAGAGAGACACAGCAGGAGAGCCAAGCAGCTGATATGTGGGCAATTAAAGCTGCTACTACATTTCTGCTTCCAGCCAAAGAAAGCTGCACACAGAACTCTGTTAGAGCTTTAATATGTCATCTATCATGATAGTTGCTGAAGCGCAGGTTTTTCTTTTTTTAGAGCAGAAGTTAATGAAGAAATAGAAAGAGCTATCTGTCAAATAGTTTACTCAATTGGTTTTAAATTGGGTTTTTACTTAAATTAGCATTTCCAATTAAGTTTCCCCCAAAAAAGAAGGTATAATTACTGATCTGATTGAATCAGCACTCAGGGGCAGGTGAGGATTCTGCTGGATGAATATCGTATAATTCTACATTTGAAAACATTTTCAGCTTGATTAGAAAAGTCTGATTTGAAATCTGCCTGAGGACTATTAGCTCAAATTGGCAAAAGACAAGACCTTTGGGGCCATCGGATAGATAAGTTGAATTGTAAATGATAAATGGAGTTGAACTTGTAAAGCACTTTTCTAGTCTTTTGACTACTCAAAGTGCAGGTCACACTTACCCATTCACACACTGATCGTAGAGGCTGCTATTTACTGTAAACCTCCATCAGTATTAACTAATCCCATTTGCACACATTCATACGCAGACAACCAAGCAGCGGGAGCAACTTGGGGTTAAGTGTCTTACCCAAGGAGACATCGGACCTGTGGCTGCAGAAGCTGGGGATCGAAACCCCTGACCTTCAAAACCTTTAGATTAACTTGTAAAACACTGAGGATTCCCTCATACAGTGACGTCGAGCTCACAGCATAAAAGCGGGGACACAAATAAAAGCGAGTTGAGAGATGACTGACTCTACCAACCGAGCCACAGCTCAAATAAATCAAACCAGAGCCAAAAATGGGGTATTGTTGTTATCCTCCAATTTATGTAAACCATAATTAAAAATCCTAAAGTAGCCTTTTACTGGCGATCTTTAAAAGCACCCCCAGCTTCCAGTCCTTTACGCTAAGCTAGCTTTATTTTTGGTAGCTTCCTATGTAGCGTACAAAGGTGTTCTGTCCATCGGATAGGATTGTTTTATGAATATCCTAACTATCATCTGACGTGGAGTTTAGAGTAAAGAGGAAGGAGAGGAGGAAGACTACATAGATAGAAACCTGACCAATAAAGCAGTAGCCTACCTAAAACTCTATGCTAGTCAGCCATAGAAAGATAGAAAGACAAGCTAATGGTCCAAAATGCTCACAAGCCATGTCTCAGCTAGTAGATGTAATCTGACCTTCCAGCATCATGATTGTTGCAACCATAAAAAAATCTATAAAAAAAACCCCTCAATGACATTTATATTATTGATTCATATTTTGAGTGTCCTTTTTGACCTTATAGATCGCAGCTGAGGAAGACTTGGGTCACCTTTCATGTCAGATGGCCGTTGTTGTGTACTTCGTTGACCCACTGTAACCTCGGCTGAGTCTGCACCACACTACATCTGTCACATACCCGTTTATTCATGGACTTCATGCAACAAATGTGGATGCTGTCAGCGGTGAAGCACTCTCATTTGGAGCGGGGTAATGCGGGGAATGTTTCTCACGCACAATCACAAGTCCCGATAATCTCTTTAATTTTTGACGTCTTAGCAGAAATGCCGAAGGCTAGGTTTAATGTCAACATGATTTAGTCTGAAGCCATTCTGAAAATTCTCATAAAACCTCCTTTCTCACATGCAGGACTCAGTTTTTTTACATAAATGCTAAAATCACTATGTTCAGCATTAGCCTGAATGTGATGTAATCAGATGAGTACTCATTTATAAAAATACATGCAGTGAATCCTACTCACTCATTAAGCCAATTGAATCTGTTCTGCTGAATTAATACATGCAAATGCTGATTTAATCCACTTGCTACCAATTTCATGCCCCTCCAGCGAAGGATTTACACACTAGTCTCCCATTCTTTGGACTATTCATTTCCTCCCAATCAGATTCAGCTGTATAATTGCAGTCATGGAGATTAGTGCCAAGGAAGGAAGCGAGGAACACACACTGGCACAAATGGATATATTAATATATCCATCGTTGCAGACACACATACATACAGATTTACTGTACAGTACGAGCGTGTATGCAAACACACACACACACACACTCTGCAGCAGCAGCAGCAGCTGACAGCAGCCTGATAGCATTGCAGTGATGAAACTAGAGATGCTGATCGCTCCTCTTAACAGAATTCACACAGTGGCAGCGTTGGCCAGCTGTACTGTAGTAAAATGTTGTAGTAGAAGAGTTCCCCCTGCGCGGGGCTGACGTGCTTCATTGAGAAATATGCCAGCATGTAAAATAGATGGAGTGGAGAAAAAGTAGTGTTTGAGCAGGAATATTTTTTGTATCAGACACAAGATCACTCAATTTACATATCAATGTCCAGATATAGTCACAGCATCCTGACACATCCTGTGACCCGATTAAGTCCAATCATATCCCCCTGTCACACATGATATGATGTGTCACTACAGGGTTATGGTTGAATGGGCAGCTCATGCAGCTGGCAGGTATACTGTAAGGTTTGGAAGGCGGAGCAAAGCTGTGTGTCCTACCTCTCCTGGTCTGTCTGATCTTTGGGCTCAGCATGGCTGTCATCGCTCGTCCACACACTCTCCTCTCGGCATGTTCATGTACATCCAAAGCACCCCACCCTCTCTGTCTCTCTCCCTCTGCCTCTCTCTCTCTCTCTCTCCGCGTCTCCTCTTCTTCTTCTCCCTCTGACCTTCTGCAGTGCGGCCGGCAGCTAGGGGGTTGGGTGAACAGGGGATGGGAGGAGAATTGAAAGAGGTGGGGGTGGTGACGGAGAATGAGAAGGAGGGGGAGGAGGCAGGACTATACCCATCTCTCTCTCTCCCCCCTGTATACACACACACACACCCAGTAACCTCCACCCCACTCTGTTACATTATTCATTGCGGTACATCCGCCTGGAGTAGATGCAGGAAAAAGGTTTTGGGCTGGGTCCTCCCTCTGACAGAGCATACACCTTTTTTTAAGTGTTGTTATTTTCTGCAATGATTGCTTTTTCGCTAAGCTGGTCTTAATGGGACAAACTGGAGGAGAGGGGGTGTTCATGTGGCAGGTGTCTCCTCCTCCTGCATCTAATTAAGCTGTAGAAATCCTCAGCTTGTCTCCACCTCCCGTCCTTTAATTACTCTTTAACCCCCATCCTTTCTCTGCTCTCTCTCTCTCATGTTCTTCCTGACACTCTGGTTATATCAATGATTGATCTTAAATTCTCAGTGTATCCTTTTTTCCTTCCTCCCATTTCCCACCCTCTTATTCCTGCATAACTCCACCATGCTCTTCTATTTTATCCTCCCCTTAATGACTTTTCCTTGATTATTTTTGCCTTTGCTATCTAAGAATGATGCTGCCTTCAATGCAAATTCAGACGTGGGAAACTCCCAGCTCGTACAGTAGGGACATAATTACCTCCTTCAGGCATTCCAGTGGCACAGCTAAGAAAAACAACAGGAAAAAAAAACTACTGTTCCTCCTCGAACAGACGATGTCATCTTGCCTCAAGCTACAGTGGCCTGTAAGTGACACAACAAAGTGCGTAGGTTTGCTGCATTAGCAGGATGTAATTTAAGAGGAGAATAGCATCAATGTTCATTCTGGCACTTGGTTTTGATTTTGTTAAGAATTTTAGTTTTGGTATTGAAAGTTTTTTGTGATTTTAATCCCATTGTTGTCATGCTGTTCTTCTTCTGTGCACACGGAGGCTGCAGCAGTCGCCAAGACTCATAAATCCAGTCGTCATTCCCAAAGTCTGACTTTGAATGACTGTGATACTATTCATTTGGCATGACTTTGAGCTTTTTCATTCACTACAGAACTGCCTGATCATTCACCAAAATACAGTTTACTGTGTGGGCTCGATTTGGAAGATTTGCTAAAAAATAAGTTAAAAATTAACGTGGGGATATTCCATAGATCAAACATTTACTTGGAGGGAAATTGAAGATATCTGACAGCATACATCATGTCGGAGTTGTCTACATCCTCTAAAAGTGATGCATTACTCTTATTTTGTGACATTTCAGGCTGCAGGGTTTTATTGGATATCTTTTGCTGTTGTTTGCTGCTTAATCTTAAGTGTCTTTAAAAAGTTTTTTAAGTTATGTTAAGAAACAAACATAGGGTTAAAAAAAAGTCACAGTAAAGGTCACCTGCTATGTTGAGGCAAAAAGACATTTAGCCTCAACATTGCAGAAGGTCTTACCAAAGGCTCATTTACTGACTTCATCCATCCTCTATCCTAAGTTTATGATTGTGAAAAATCAAATTCTATACTCCAACATCTTTTGTAAATGATATATGAGACAGTTGTTAAATAATGCTCATGGAGTAAAGAGACAAGGAAATGAATACACTAGTCCAGCTAATAGCTAATTAGCCTTGCTCACATTTTCTTTGGATGGTTAAAATAGAAACGCACACAGTTTATATTGTTACACATTTTAAATTTCTACTACTGTCAGAAAGCCGTCCCTTATCCCGCCCTTCAAAAAAATACAAAGGCAAACTCTTGAATTTACTCTCTAACACTGTGGTATTTAAAAAGATGTTTGAAATATTAGTGAATCTGTATCTCAAGCCATTTTCATCATTCTACTATCTTTATATTTACTGTGAAAACGTGTACTGCATTAAAGGCACAGTATGTGTATTCCACCACCAGGGGGCTCTCAAACAATGAAAAATCCCCCCCCACGATGTATCCAAGTATAATTTACATGACGTTTTTATCACAGCAGCATATACAGCAACAGTACGGCAGCTTTCAGTAGCAGCTCCCGCTTCCTTATGTAGCGGTCTTTGAAATAATATCCGGTGTTTCCATGGCTACGAGAAACATGTCCTGTCTGTCATGGCGGCGCGCCGTTACAACTAAAGAGTTACAGATTTCTCTCGCTTTGATAACTGTTCGAAATATTTGAGGTAATGTAAGTACTCAACAAACAAAAAAGACAGGATAACACAATCTTTTATTCTTTTAGTTTTTTTTTTATATAAACATTGTCATACAACGATACATATTGTACATAAATGTTAAAATGTACAAATTAAATGTCGTATGTTATTGTCTAAAAAGCATCATCAGCCATTTTTTCATGAAAGTTTGTGTTGTTAATTTACACTGACAGTAAATATACACCTTGAATGAATGATTCTGTATTCGTAAAGCGTCCGATTTGATGACGGTTTAAGCTTGAAATTCTTATTGAGTTTCTCTGCGTTTTTGCATCAGATGTAGAAATGTTCTATTCTCTGTAATGTCTGATTGCAGCATTCTGAAGTTGCTGTTAGCAGCTGTGCTCCAGCAGCCGGGCCGCCTTCCTCCTCCTCCTCCTCCAGCATACAGAAGATAATGGCCCTGAGTCCTGAGCTGCAATTGAATCAGAGCTGGCCTCACGTCAACCACAGCTGCTCTTATTACAGAGCAAAGAGGAGAGAGACACAGAGGGGCTGGAAGAGTGTGTGTAGATAAATATATATGTGTGTGTGTGTGTTTGTGTTCCCCCACCTACGTATGTATACACACACGCCTACAGGCAGCTAAAATGAAGACCCAAATGGAAAGATGGATTGACCATACACACACAGGAAGTAAACCCAAACTGAGCTAAAATGGAGCTGACAGAAACAGAGATGGGGGTCACACAGTTTAAAATGAAAGGGGAGGCGGGGGGGCAGCGGCCAATATAGTGAAATGAAACCAAGATGAAGCAGAGTGAGGAGTGAAACATGCACACAGACACACCAAGAAGTCAAAATCAGACAGCAATAAAAAGTCTTCAGTGCCAGTTTTTGGGACTGAGGTTGGTGAAAGCAGTGTGGTCCAATTATGCAGGGTGTGGCTCTTGGTGTTGTTTCCCGCTGCATGTGCCACAAAATCAGATTATGTTGTCTTGTTATCACAGAGCTGGCTGCACAGACTTGCATGTCACAGGAGAAGCAAACAGCAAACAGCAAGCTCAGAACCAAACCTTTTCTTTTTAACCATAACCACTGCTCTTTTAGTTCATTTCAGTTTTGGCTACATAACTCAATCCAAGAGCTTGATTTAACAATCTGCATTTTTAAGGCCTTGTCAGGGTGGAATATTACAAACCACATATGTTATTCACATGTTTGTGATACCTCTAGTGTGCAAATCAGGCTAGGAAATTTCATAAAATGTCTAGTTGTGGGACTCATGATGCAGTGGCCGATCTAGGGTCTGTTGGGGCCATAAACAAAAACTCAAAGGGGGCCCCTCCAACCAGCATTCACTATAATGTCATAAATTATCTTACACCAACAGAAAAATAGTGAAATGTGAACTTTGTAAATTTTAAAAAAGTTTTACAGATTGGATACAATACTATCGTTGACAAACAAAGGTTTTCACAACAGTAGTATTTTATTTGTTGCATGTTAAGTTGACTCATTTAGTTACAGACTTTTTCAACTTAATTAAAGCAGATTTGCTCTTTTTAACACTTTTGTCCTGATTGCTTGGTCCCTAACAGACACCTATGTCCCAAAGACCAAAAGCATGTAGTTAAAGAAAAAGATACTGACAGTTCCAATAACACAAGATTGCAAGTTATTGATTCTTACATTTTTATGATTACAGACAAGTTGTGGACTAGAACATTGACAACTTTCAAATTTGACCTTTATAAGGACTCCAACCCACGACTGTCTTAATTCATAATATCAAATGAGAAAATAGGCTGAGGCAGACTGACTGCAATGAAACAATACATTTATTTTTTTGATGAGATCACCATTTTGGTGACATGCCAACCTAAGATGTCTCAGTTTTAATCTTCAGGCCTGAAACAGCTGAATTGTTTCCCCAGCCACTTGTATACTCTTTGGCTTCTGGTCTTCTTGACCTTCTCCTGCTTAATGTTGGTGTCATTCTGCGTTGTATCATGGATGGTCTGAAGATCTTGTTCTCTGCAGGGCATGACTGACAGGGTACCATGAGATGATGATTTTGGTTCCACAGTAGAATCTGGTTCTGGGCTCTGTAGCAGCTCTTCTATTGTAGTCTGGATGAATTTCAACCCCATCTCAACAGCAGCAATGGCAGGAGCTTCCTCAGCAGGAGTTACAGGAGTTATTGAATCAAGCACAGAAGGTGATTGAGCATGCAACTCAGCTGGTTCTTGATTGGCACTGGGCTGCTTATTACAAACATCACCCTTCAGGAATAGCGTATGGATAATGCTGTCAGCTGGCAGGGTTGAGGTAGGTGTTGGAGTTGAGTCCAGTTCACCGATAGGCTTTCCATTCATAACCTCACCCTCCAGCACATGAGCACTAACTGAAGCTTCAGCTGGCAGGGGACAGGACATCATCTCATCCATGCAAATGTTCAATGGAAGTTCAGCGGTAGTCAGTGGTGAAGTGTGAGAGGAAACCTGGTCTCTTGTTGGGTTGAACATCCATCACTTTACCTTCCAGGACTGACGCAAGGACAGTAGCTTCAGCAGGCAGGGTTACAGATGGTTCTGGAGCTCGCACGACCACAGAGTCCGGTTCACTGCTGGGCTCTTCATCCATAACCTCACTCTCCAGCACTGGAGAGAAAACTAATGGCTCAGCTGGCAGGGTTACTGGAGTTGAAGGGCTTGGTATAGCGTGGCAGGTAAACTCTGAACTCTGAACAGCCGTGTTGGCT